CCGAGGACCTATCCACGTCGTCATTTACCCAGAATGCTTTGTGTGTAAATAAAATGGCCCCATCCATGTAATATGATAAAATGATAAAAACTAAACAGCCTACAGTATTTTTACAGTCTTTATTTTACAGTTAAAATATATGTTTATCAAGTAAAGTCTAATGTTACAACTAATCATGGATCCCTTTAAAAAACAACAACAGTTTAGGCTGAAACTTAAGGTTACTTATTTGTTAATCTGAAATTAACTTGTTCACACTAAGACAGTCAGGACACATTGAACAAGTTTTAAAATTATATATATTTTTGTCCTTTTTTATCGATTATTTATCAACCTTTATTTATGACTTTTGACGAAACAGTTCTGCTGAAACAAAATTCAACACAGAGCTGGTTCTGCTGCTCTGAAACTAAAGATGATCATAAAATATTCAAAAAGTGACTTAAGTACTTAGAGTAATGTGTTGTTATCACACTGTACTACCGATGCTTTCCAGTATACTGTATTTTAGTTAGATGTAAAATATTACTGTGCTTTACAGTTTGGATGTTGAGAAAATTAAAAGAAAAAGTAAAACAGGCTGCTCGGGTCGTTTCACTCAGGTGGAAGGATTAAAAACAAACATCTTATCAGCTTCCTCTTCCTCTGTGTGTCAGAAGCTCCTCCGGTCTCTCTCAGTCCCGTCGACGCTCGTTTGGCAGAGCTGCAGCACTACATGCAGAGAGAAACCGACGCCTTGGTTCTGGCCAAAGACGTGGTGAAGCAGCTGCAGGGGATCTCAGAACTGGACCAGAAGGCCCTGGCTGAGGTCTGGCCTTTTTTTTTTTTTTTTTTTTTACAGATCTTGGAAAGAACAAAGGTGTGATTTTTCACCCATTTTGTCACATAAATGGCAAATTTTCTTTTGAACTTGGCTCAGCCAAAGTGAAACAGGAAGTGACATCAAAAGAACTATTTAAGAAATAGAAGTCTCTAGTCTTTGTTTATTGAAATATTATTTGAACTCTGGCTCGTATTCATCTCTCTCTGATAGTGACTCAAAATAATCTAAAGAAACATCAGATTTTTCTCTACAGTCTGTGTCGTTAACTATTTTATCAGTGCTTTGTTCCATGCAGACATTCCCCTTTGACATCACTTCCTGTTTCTTCACATGCAAATATCTCAACAACTGTTCATCTCAGCAGTGGCAAATTATTTTTGCAATATGTTATTAATGGTATCTTTCCAATAATGCCTTTATATTTATTTAAAAAATTTCATGTCACAGGAACTTTAAGTCCTTATTTACAAGCTGCAAATTTAAATATGAGCAGAACTGATCATATAAGTTGTTGCTTATGTACTCTTAAAAATGTCACGTTAAATGGTTCTAGAAAAAAAAGAAAATATGTAAATTGCTCAATTTAGTCACCTCGGTTAAGTAAATTCAGTACTTTTCTTATCATTGATATTAATTATTTTAAAATACCATTTTCTGTAAAGGTGTTTTTACTTTGACTTGTTTTTTAAAGCACTTTATACACCTCTGGAAAAGAAGATAAAATACGTAAAGAATTCACATCACAGTCGAGTTTTTGATATGTAAAGCAAAAAAAATCACTTTTAAAGAAGAGAAATCGTTATTCGAAAAGGTCAAAATTATAATTCTTGTAAAAGAATTTGTGCAAAAACATAAAACATTAAGAAACTAGAAGCACTCGGAGAGTGCAAACCTCCGCCAAGACCAATATCCCCCATCCTGTAATAGAGTTACAAAGGGGCACACCAATACTGCAGTGCCACCTGYTGGACACTTTGAAACCCACGCCCTGTGAAAGCATCGCAGCTTTGCCGATCTCAGAGTGTTAAAAGAAAGAAAATTCCTGTATCCGCATCGTGATCCGGAACATCACCAAAATTTAAAGTTGTGTTCATTGGCCCAGTACCCACATGTGATAAAAAAGTCATGACAATCTGTCCACAAGTTTTTGAGTAATGTTGTCTTCAGACAGAACGACAGACAGAAAGACAGACGGACAGAAATACGCGACCGAAAACATTACCTCACCCTCAGTGGAAGTAAAAACAGCATTTGATTCAAAACATGTTCATAAAAGAGACAAATGAGTATTTTACAAGTTATATATCCAAGTTTATTTTAGAATAAATATTTTCTCATCTCTGCTTGAGTCTATGTTAGTTTGTCTGTTTGCAAAATATTTCATTTATTTTTTAAATTTTAATGAGTCGTTTTGATTCAGCTTTAATGTTCCATCACATCAGAAATCTTTATTTAAAATTCAACCTTCTTTATGTGTTAGCAAAATATCTGATGTCCTTTCTCATCTCAACCTTAAACATTCACCATGTGACAATGATTCTATTACAAACACAAAATTAAATCTGATTTCTGAAAATTAGATTTGTTTTAAAGTGGAGCCGTTTATATGTATTATTTTGTTTTTAATTAAGGCTCAGTTTCGAGTTCAGGAATCATCCCAGAAGCTGGACCTTCTGCGGCTGTCCTTGGAAAACTGCCTGAAAGAAAAGCATCAGGAGCCTCTACAGGAGATCGAGCCTTCAGAGGACCCGCCGCCGCCGCCAAACCTCCAAACTGTGCGTCCACCGCCCTCAACGCCACCCACCTTCTCCATCAGACCGGCGTCTTTAACGGGTACCAACACAGAAAAATTAGATTAGTCTTTAAAAATATCATTTAACTTCTAACGTCATAATGATTTCCTGGAAGATGAGGTTGTAAAATGACATGAAATAGTTTTTTTTTATTTATTATCCAGCTCCCTCTGTGGTTTTAAGCAGTTCTTTGAACATGTTTTAGCATACGCTGACCTCTGGCAGTGGATAATCACCACATGTAATCTGCTGGCTCTGAACGGTTCACTTGTAAGCCGGTCCGCTGAGCTGGAGGGCAGAAATTAAAATAAATAGATAGATGGATAGACAGACAGACAGACAGACAGACAGATAAAAGTCTGCTGATGATGTAATGAGGAGCAGCTCTGTCAGAGGTGGATAATGATGGTGCGTTCACACCGAACGCGATTTCAGCGTCAGGAGCAGCAGGTTTACATGCAAAGTCTATGGTGGAGGCGCTTCAAGCAACGTCGGGAAGTTCTGCGGCGCCTCAAGCGCGATTAGAGCAGCGCGATTTGAACGATTTGGACGATCTGAGCGTCGAACGCTCAGATCGTCCAAATCGTCCAAATCGCTGAAGTTGGGAAATCTGAACTTTTGCAGCTCGACGCCAGCGTCAACCAATCAGAGAGACTCCACTGTGTGACGTAGCGACATATTTCCCGACGGGACAGTTTACTGAATGAGGTCCACTAACCTGAAACAGACGGAGCGGAGCTCTTTAGCTAAAATGAGTGCTGCAGTCGTGTCCTGATCCGCAGCAATGCGTGACAGCGACTCATCAGACTGAAAAAAATAGTCCTGAAAGCGAGCTGTGAGCCTCTTCTCTGAATTATCTGGTGAATTAATTATGAATTAATTATCTGATGAACGTGACACGTTCTGGCTGTCTGTAAATAAAGCAAAGCCACTTCCTCGTCCGACATTAAACGGAGCCCGACAGAGGAGGGAGGGGCGGGGCGGCTGTCGCCGTGCGGCGCTTCAACAACTGTCCTGCGTCTGACCTCAAAGTGCACAAGCTTCAGACTTCAGCGTTGGCTGCGATTTTGAAGCTGAAATCGCGTTCGGTGTGAACACACCATGAGAGTCTGGGAACAGTGAAAAACACTCGGGGTGATTGTTTTCAGCTCCTCGTCTGTTAACTCAGCGCTGAAATGAAGAAACTGAAGAGGCTCAGTGTGAGCGCCCATTAAAGGCTGCGGTCCAAGAGATTTATTCAGACGAGATGTTTGATTTTTGAAACGCCGAGCTCTTTTTGGTTCAAATATCATGGAGTCGGTGAGGATTTCAGGATGGACTTTTGGACATTTAGAGCCAGACTTCAGGTTTGTTTCTGTTTTTCTTCTAGGCAAACTTGAAGTGCGACTTCTTGGATGTGAGGATTTACTGAAACCTCTGAAAGACGTGGATCAGAAAGATCCTTCAAGTCCCAGCGAGGACGACTCGACGGTTCCACACAGGACTGACGGATCGCCCAGTGAGTGGATGATAGTGTGACGCTTCACGATCATTCACACTGTTGAGGTCTTTTTTTCTTCCAGACGTTTTTCAGCATCTAACTCGTTCCAGGATTTTTGTGCTAATTCAGCAATTCATATATCAAAAAGTCACAGCCAAGGGTGCTGTGACTTTTGGTATTTCAGCTATTTTTACTTTTTCAGCTACTTTTTTTGCCATTGAAAATGAACGGAGCTGTTTTCATCATCCTTAAAATCCTTCAAAATGTTTCTAAATCTTTACAGCACCTTACACAATTTGTTCTGGTTCTGCTCTTTCTCACTTTCTTGTGCTAATTTTAGCTACTTTTTTGCTAATTTTAGATAATTTCTGCAACTTCAGTTAAAATTCAGATTTTTTTTTCTGCTATTATTCTTCCTTTTTCTACTTTTTTGTACTTTTTTCTGCTACTTTGTGCTATTTATACTTCTTAAAGATGCTATGTTCAGCTATTTGCTGTAATTTTAGCTGAAGTTCAGATGTTATTAGCTAAAGTTAGCTGTTTTAAACTAAATACACATTTTTTGTAGCTAATCAACATATTTTTGCTAATTTCAGTTACTTTTTAGCTGTTTTACCAAAGGTTTTAGTTGTTTTAGCTATTTATTAAGATTATCACTTTTTAGTACTTGTATGCTTTTTTCTGCAATTTTTAAACTTTTTATATCACTTTCACCATCTGGGTGCTAATTACAACTTGTATCTGCTACCTTTAGCTTATTTATGCTAATTTTAGCTTTTTTCTTCTATTGTGGCTATAATTCTGCTTCTTACCGCTACTCTTCTGCTTTTTCCTACTTTTTGTGTTTTTTTCTGCTAATCTGAGCTATTTATGCTTCTTACAGATGTTTTCTGCTATATTCAGTTGTTTTAGCTTTTAGCTGTTTTCTGCTATTTCAACTATATTTTTGCTCCTTTTTACTGTTTTTCTGCACAGTTAGGCTTTCTTTGCTCCTTTCAGCTTTTCAGATTGAACTTGCATTAATGCTTTTGTTATTAAATATTTTCAGCTCAGTTTCAGCAGCTTTCATCTTAAGTTTTCAGCAAGAAGCATTCATACTAGTATTTTCGCAGGAAATGCAATTTTTCTATTTTACTTTTTGTTTTTTTACTTTGGAGGTTTTCAGTGCAAAATTGATTCAATTAAAACAATAAAAAGTCTGTTGGCTTTAATTAGTATTGTTAGTTTTTGGGTTTTAAGGCGGTGTTTGTGATCTGTTCCCGTCAGCGGAGGTCAGGGCGGTGCTGCGGCTCGACGGCAGAGCGGTCGGACGGACGCGCTGGGCGACCGCCGGCAGACTGAGCTGGGATCAGATGTTCTACATCCAGCTGGAGCGGGTAAGTCAGAGAGTTTTGATAAAAACTGGAGGTGGAGATGCAAACGTTTGAATATTTTATCTAACAAACATACTACAGAGGCCCTCGTATGAAGATTTAAATTAATAAAACATATAAAATTTGTTCTTGTTGCTTCTTGGAAGTTATAGGAATCTGTAAATTTCAGATTTTAAGCAAACTTATCTTGAAGAAAAACAAAAATCAGATTAGAATTTAAGGTAAAAACATCTCTTACAACAGTTTTTATCTTTTTGTGTACAGTGCCCTGAGACGTTTGTTGTTACTTGGTGCTGCATAAATAAATTTAATTGAATGTTTTAAATTTTAACCATGTCCTTTTATATAAAAACTGTAGTCAATTATAATAAAATTACAGATGTTTCAACATCAAAAAATTTGAGGCTTGAAAATTAAAAAAATAATAATAATAAAAAAGTTTAGGAAGTCTGTAGGAGGGTGGATGAAGCACTTAAATGTCTAAAAGGTTTCTGTTTTTGAGCGTAAAAAACAAATCGATTTTAATGTTTTGCCAGCTTGTTGCTTTGTGACATAATAGACGTAAACAAACAGAAAAGCAACGACTTCACTGAATATTTTCCCATCATTTAAACATCTCCTGAGTGCTGGTCAGCTCTGAGTGTTGGTGAGTTGTGTTTCGCTCCAGCTCACACCGCCCACACTCAAACAGGCCTTCCTGTGTGTTTTAATCAAATCACTCTGCTTCACACTGAAGAAATGTGCCATTACCGAGACGTCAGATCGACGTTAGGGTCCCTCAGGAAAACAGGATCGATGGTTAGATGTTTGAGAACTTTGTGTGTGCAGATTCAGACAGCGTAGGCAGGACTGTTTGACACGTTAACCGTAGCTGAAGGAACCATGAACAAAATGAACATCTTCTCTTTAATTATTGAGGGAAGACTGTTTTTTTATTTTATTTTTAAATCAGGATGTCTTCCTCAGCACTGAAACCATCTGACTGAGGTTAAAAGGAGCAGTACGTTAAAATATTTTTCATTCAAGGTGACATTCTGATTTGTAGACACCAGGGGGTGCTGTTGTGCTTCATTTGTTTGTGCTTTTAATTATGGTTGTAGTTCTGCTTTTCACCAGCAGGTGTCAGTCTAATCCCTGCAGATTACAGTTGAGGCCATCAAAGCAGTTTATTCCACATTAAATCTGGCTTCTGAGTAACAAAGTTAAACTGTTTATGTAATGTTTGCTTCTGCTGATAAACCGCTGACAGTCTCGAGAGCTGGAGGTTTGCGTCTTCTGGCGGGACCGGAGCTCGATGTGCGCCGTCAAGTTCCTGCGACTGGAGGAGATGATGGAAAACCCGAACCACAACCAGGACCTCACTCTGGAGCCACGGGGCCTCCTCTTCATCAAGGTGCAAAATCATCGTCAGTGGGGTGGAACAGCAGCTAAAAACTAAATGAAGGAAAATACGATACCTAAAACTAGCAAATGTTAGCCTCAAACAAAAGCTTAGCTAAAATTATCAAAAGCTAAAAAAATAAAATAAAATTAGCAAAAAGCTAGACAGAAGCTGAAAGTAGCAAAACACCAGCGAAAAGCAGCAAAAGGCTAGCTTAAAGCTACAGTAGCAAAAGGGTAGCTAAAAGAAGCCAAAGGCCATGTAAATTGAGGGCGACTAAGAAGACAAAAGTAGCACATAACAGCTAAAAGCTTAATATCAAAAGACTCATTAAAACTATCAAGCTACTTGCTAAATGTAGCAAAAGAGTAGCTAAAAGCTAAAATAAGCCAAACGTTAAGTAAATTGTTTTTTAAAAAGTTACTATGAAGCTAAAAGTAGCAAAAATCTAGATGGAAGTGATGCGTTATAAAGATTGTTAGACTTTTTTTTAAATTCATGCAGTTTGTTTTGTTTCCTGTAAGTCTCACATTTTAAACCGACACATCTTATGTTTACAGGTTTGTTTTAATATTTGTCTAATTTTTCTGGGTTTCTCAGCTTCGATTCATCGACACGGTGGTGGAGCGACAACCCAAACTGAGACGTCAGCGATGTATTTTCACTAAAGAGAGAGGTACACAGCTTTTTAACACAATC